TGGAGCATCACTTCCTACTGAAATGAGGAAGAACAACTTTTCAGTGAAGCAGAACTCATATTACAACACTGCAGTCCAGGGGGAAATGATTACCTTAGCCCGCGTGCTTCACTTCTCTGCATAACATTCTATTTCAGCAGGAGGCCAATGGGGAGAACATTACACCTTCATTTTCCTGTTAAAGGAAGAAGTCAATAGTAACTGACGGACTTTCAAGACAATAAATATTTAGCACAAGTAGAGGGAGACCAGAACTATCTGTAATGACACTGTGAAGCCCTTCCAGGAAAGAGTCCCTCCCAGAGATAGGGGAGAGAGCGGCACAAGTCACCTTGTGCTTACCCCTATCCTTAGCTCAAACTTTTGTACTTCCACAGTTGCTACTTATTTCAGTCTTGGAAGCTAAATACCAAGGAGGAATGAATTATCGCTCTCGCTCACGCTCCCTCTCTCTTTTTTTCTCTCTCTCCCCCTAAGAATATACTATATATTGTGCTCTTTTAATAGTTTCGTCACACGACCCAGCAAGAGGTGAACATTTTTCCACCTTCCTAATCCAGGCTAGAAAGTTAGCAATTCTTGGTTGACGTGACTTGCTGCGTTATGTTTGTTTGTGTCCATGTGTTGAACGTGCAAACTGGTCAGGAAAAGATTTTATTGAGGTTAATCTTAAATGATGCCCTGTTCTGATTGTTGCTCTGCAATTGCAAGTTTTACCGATAACTGCTGAGGTTTTGCCCCCCCCCAAGGCTTGGTTTCTGGTAAACATGGGCTCATAAAATGAATATATGCTTAAAAATAATTATTCAGAAGGAACTAAGCAGCCAGAAAATGGGAGAGGGAGAGCTTTTGACATTGCCAGCTGCACCTGGTATTTAAGTGACTCAAAGCCTCACTCTCCTATTTGTTAGGTTTCTGGTAAACATGGGCTCATAAAATGAATATATGCTTAAAAATAATTATTCAGAAGGAGCTAGCCAGAAAATGGGAGAGGGAGAGCTTTTGACATTGCCAGCTGCACCTGGTATTTAAGTGACTCAAAGCCTCACTCTCCTATTTGTTATCAATTCTGTAGCTTTTATTAGCACCAGGCCCATAAACAAATCATTGTGCAAAAGTACCTAATAGAAGCAGCCAGTGGGCTACAAACTACGGTTTAAATGACACTGTAATGACAGAAGAAAAGGACATTTTCTGAAGATTAATAGCTAGCTGGGACATGATGAAGGTCCAAGGTATTGTCAAGGGATATTAACCCCAACTGGTTTTTCAGTCCTAATTGTCTGCAATATGGCAGTGATTGCTATTACATGAGTAGATTGCTGAATGGAAGAGGAGATCTATTTCAACATAAGAATAATATAGTTGTTTTGTAAAGAACACAACTGAGAGCATTGAACTTTGAACATGAAATCGATATTATGATTCTGCCCATAATTGTTTCTCATGAATTAAATACTCACCTGTGCCACACCATTGACTTACAACCACATCTCTGACCTACAACCACAGGACTAATGTGTCTTTGATGCTGACCCAGCTGATCATGGTTTAATACCCCACATTTCCCATTCCTCGGAGCTCCACAGCATTTTTTTTAATGAGAAAGATGCTTTTTTTTTTTTTTTTTTGCTGCAAAAGGTGGAGGAAACTTTGCTTTTAGAGAATAAATTTAAAACAACAGATTCATCTATGAGTTGTAGTGTTTACAGGCTATCTGCCTACCACCTGCTTTGCTCAGACTCCAGGATGTGTCAGTTTTCATCGATTAGACAGAAGAAATGAGATCACCTCAATAATCCCTTATCCCGAACTTCAGCTCTTATTTTATATCACTGTCTTTTCTTACAATTTCCTGAACTTCCTCATCTAGTTAAAGGGCAGGGAGGGGTGTCCAATTCAATAATTGAAAGAATCAAATCTTTAATGAGGTGCTATCAAATGGGTGGTGTTGGGGTGGGAGAATTGTCAAATGGCCAAACCATTAGATGTGTTTATTCACCCACCATTCATGTGGTCAGTCATCCAGTATTGATTAAGGTCCCCTGTGCACACTGTTCGAGGGCCTGTGGAAGATATAAACATTATATTCCATGGTATACACCTTCCATTTTTGTATCATCTAGTTGGAAAGAAAAGTAATAGAGAAAAATAAGAAAGTAAACAACAGTGTGAGACTTCCAAAAAATATGTCAAAATACAGTCTCATCCCAGACTTACTGAATCAGAATCTCTGAGACCAATCCCAGGTATTTCTGAAGCTCAGCAAAGCACAGTGGTTTGTGAACCACTGGAAACAACAGTGAAGATTGGTGAGGAATAAAAAATGTGAAGAATCTAATTGTAGCCAATAGCAGGAGGGGTAAAGGGAAGAGGTGAAAGAAAATTCCCCTAGAGAAACAAGTTTCTCCATATCCTACCTTCTTGATCCCATCTCTTGTGCATTAAGAAAACTTCACATTCATAAGTGCAGAATCAGGTAAGAGAAAAGGTTTCCATCTAGACTTGATGCGTGAATGTAGTTCTCACACAATTTGTTTACCAAAGATATGACTTCACGAGCAAGAATATGGTTTTCTGTCAATTTTTTAAATTGAACTTGGAGATTAAAGAAAACTTCATCATTGGAGGTTTGGGAGCATGGGCACACATTCGAGTGTGTAATTATAATCCTTACACACAGAATCTCATTACTAGAGTTTCACCTGTGTCTACCAGTGAGAGTGGTAAGGAAATTAAATTGAAATCGCCAAGTATACACAAGATTTTATGAGCAAAGATTTCCAAATTTCATAAAATATTTATCAACAAACAAAAATCCAACTTTCAGTTAAAATGGAAATAATCAAGAGAGAACAGAACATCTGAAAAATAGCACCCAAAATAGCATTTTTCCCAATGAGTAGTTACTTATCCTGGAGTGAAGGGGCAGAAGGAAAGAAAAAGCCAAAGATATAGTAACTTTAAGTATATAAAAGTTACATACTATGGCCTGTCTTTCTCATGTGGAAGAAGCAGGATTTACTGAAGGGAGAGAAAATTCAGCCATGGGAAAAAAATAAACTTTGTAAAAATATTTAAACAAATTTATTACAGTACAAACTGTTGCACCGGCCTCTTGAGGCCAGACATTGGTTTATAGATGGTAATGTGCTGGTAAATGTTTAATAAACTGCTCTCTGCAAAGGAAACAAAACTCTGATACATAGCATTTAACAGTTTCCATGGTAAATACTCTACCATGGTTGATTTCAAGCTCCCAACATGATATCACTGCACACAGAGCTGGAAAGAAATGCCCCATAGCACACCACTATATAGTTTCCTATTACAGACACAATAGACTTAAATAACATCAAGAACATGGATGAAAGTAACAGGTAATAAAATAATCAGTAAATATTCAATTTTGAGTACATATTTTCTTTTTAGGAATATAATTTACTTAAGTCTACATTTATATAATTTAAGTTTTAACAATGGCTCTGTTTAACAACTGGCACTCAAAATTCCTGAAATTTTAACAATCAGCTCTCAAGAGGCACCAAGAGCCAGCTACATAGCACGGTACTGGGTAGACCTAATAGTGTCTCGAGTTAAATGGAGGAAAGTCACAGAAGCTCAAGTTCTCAAAGCAGCTTTACCAAGTTCCTCTTGAATGTTTTACCTTTGACTTTAATCAAGAGTTAACATGAGAACCAATTCAACAAAGAGAACTTTTGCTGAAAAGTTCTGTCAAAAACACTCTAGGCCAGTGGTTCTTAATTGGGGCAATTTTGCTACCCAGGGGACATTTGGCAATAACTAGCATTTTTGATTGTCAAAACTGGAGCGGAGATGCTATTGACATCTCATGGGAAGAGGCCAGGAATGATGCTAAAATCTTATGATGCTCACCAACTCCCCAATCCACCCAAAATGCTAATAGTGCCAAGGCTGAGAAACCTTAGGTCTTTTGTATATGATGAAATGTGATACATTTCTTTATAACTTAGTACCTCTCTCCTAAAATATTTCCCTCTATCAGATAATAAGAATTTTATAATCCACCATGTCTCCTTGTCTTTCACTAGCAGTAATTATATCAGTCCTTGTACTTGGTCCTTTTTAGGACCCTAATTTTCTGTTTTATTTTAATTTTACTGTACACAGGTCTTTTATTAATAAGATGGATTTTCTTTAGACATAGGAAGGGGATGAATGGTTGGTTAGATGTTTGGATGGATGCATGGGAGAGAAAAGGTAAAAGAAAGAGAAAAGGGGAAGAAAGAAGGAAGGAGGAAATTTTGCTTTGATGGAAAACATGAAAATCAATTGTGTGGCTGCCAATATAACTTTTAAAATCTTTATAGGGAATAAATTTAAATATATATTTTTGCTTTCAGAGAAAAAATGATCCCTATGCTCTTGTATCTCTCGTGTCCTTTGAAGTTAAGAAGATGCCTTATAAAGACCAGCCAGCAAAACTCCCAGAAGGAAACATAGCAGTGAGTATCTGAAAATATATATCTATGGGCACAAATAATTTAATTGAAATAATTGTTTTTAATCACCGTCCAGTCTGTACTAGGTTTTAGTGTTTACAGTAATTTGAGAAAAGTTTCTCTCTTCAGATCACTATTTTCTTATTTCAGTCTGGAAATTTCCTAGTGCCTTTTGATCTGGTTTTTAAATTTCTGATGAAAATTTCTACCCAAAAAATTACAGGGCAGGACTAATACCATTTTTTAATCAAGCCATTTTGTTTCAGAGTAGTACAGATAGCAGTGATCATTATAACAAAAGCAAACTGATTCTTTACTTTTAAGACAGCTTAGTGAGTCAGGTCAGAAGGGAAGAAACTCTTCTTGCAGGAGAGCTGGCCATCGACCAGCTAGCTGCATGACTTTGGACAGTTGTTTTTCCTTTCCGTGCAAAGAACCGTAATTTTCACCTGGGGGGAAAGAGTACATGATGAGCTTCAGTTCAATCAAGTATTTTTTTAATTGAGGCTATTAAACATTACTGACACCCAAATATCTGTCACAGAACTTCTGATATCCTCAGCAACCTGGCAAGGCCACACAGAGGGGAGGAAGGATGGATGGGAGGGAATGACCCGGTGCCGTTACCAAAATTCTACCTTTCCAGTTACCTGTGAAGTGATCAGAGACTTCTGAAAAATGTTTTCTGAAAAACAATATTAAAATCTCAAGCTTTTTCTCTTGGTCATTCAGCAGATATTTACAACCCCCAATCCAAATTCTTGGTCCCCAGCCACGTCAGCATCACCTGGGAGATTATTAGAAGTACAGACACAGGCCTCACTCCAGACCTTATGAGTCAGAATCTGCGTTTTATCAAAATCATCAGGGCATCCATATGCACAGTAAAGTCTGAGAAGCACTGCTTTAGATGATATATAAATGAATACTATTGTTACAGCTTGCTAGACTAGGTCTTAAAATCTAATTGTAATATTTAATCTTTCTAGCCTAATCTACTTTTAGTAATTTAAATTAAATTAATCCATTGAGAGGTGATTTTTAACTCTGAGTATGCAACAGAATCATCACGTGCAACTTTAGAAACATAAACATGCTAAAATCTCACCCCAAATATCAAGATAGAGTAGGTCTTGGGTGGGGCCCAGGGGCTGTGTTTTTTGTTTGTTTGTTTGTTTTCTTAAAAGATGACCAGTGAGGGGATCTTAACTCTTGACTTGGTGTTGTCAGCACCATAGTCACCCAATGAGCTAACAGGCCATCCCTATATGGGATCCCTACCCATGGCCTTGGTGTTATCAGCACCGCACTCTCCCGAGTGAGCCACGGGCTGGCCCAGTTGTGTTTTAAAAGCCCTGCAAAGGATACTTCTGCAGTGGAACCAGAGTTGAGAACTTCCAGCACAGGCGGGAGGCCTAGAGAAAAATCCAAGGCTATCGAGATAGAGTCACCTGGGCTTAACCCTGGCTCCACCCAGCTCTGATGAGGAAACCTTCTGGAAGTCCCTTTACATCTCTGAGGCTGTTAACCACAGGCACCTGATGGAATTGTTAAGCAGATTAAGAAGATTATGTATTTAAAGCTCTAGCATTGTACCTAGAACAAGTAAGTCTCAATGAATCCTAGTAACCTTCCCAAAATGTCTTACCTTCTCTAGCTAAATTCAGTAAGCCCAAATTGGAAATGACAGTTATGATTTGCACAGTCAAAATATTTCAGTAATCTTCGATGGTATTTTAAGGCAATCACTGCCACATCTTTCTTTATTTAGACCACCTTGCTTTCTCTTATGAGATGTCTGCTGTAGCTTGGATTTATGTTCAACCTAGAAAGCAGACGTTTGGGGTTTTTAATATAGACTGTTCATCCAAAGAGGTTCAAAGGCTTGTAGCTCAAAGGAAGATAAATCTAAGCCTTTTTGTTTTCTCTGAGCACGTGTTTCATCACAGAAACACGTTACAATCGATTCCGTCAACAGGATTGCATCTTTCTGTGCTGGTCACAGGTGACAGCCTGCTGTTCTCAACTCATCTCAAAAGATCTGCAAAATGATCAGACAGTTGCCTCCCCCAGTCCTGTCACCCCTGTGTGTGTGTGTGTGCGCGTGTGCACAGACAAACTCGTTGTCTGATGTAGATGATTTACCACACCATTTATACAAAGGTTATTGAAAAAACATTTAGGAACAGAGGCGCTTTCAAGTCTCCCAATATTGGACTAACTGGAGAAGATCCTGCCAGTATAAGGTTAGCTATGCACTAGAGGGTGGATTTGAGAGAAGAATTTTGGTTGGAGCTTGTTGACATTTTTATAGTGAGTCCTTCTCAAGGGTCTTGTCTTTCTTCTCTTGAAAGAGCCCAGCAGAAGGGAACTGCTTTAAGGTGTTAGAATCAGTAGGAATAGGTAGTTTGAGAGTTAATCAGAGCTCCAGTCTGCCACTGGAGAAAGTCCCTCGGTTCCTTCATTTCGTAAAGAGACTGAGTAATGTTTGCTTGTTTTCCTGGATTCTTATGTGGAATGATTAGTTTGTGCATTTTCAAGATGGTCATAATTCAGCCATTTCTTGAGGCCTATGTAAGATTTACATATGGAAGAAAAGAATAGTCCCCACCTGCTACTTGCATAGTATCTGTGTTTGTAAAAATGAACTCTCATGCAATGCTACACTTCTGTTCAGAAGTGAGGGAAACGTTATATGATTCAAAGGCACGTGACTGAACACTGAATCCTTACAGTGCAGCAGAAAACATGTTATTCAATTATTTGAACACTTTTTGGCTCTCCAGTGAACTTGGCATTCACGTATTATGCAACTAACATCCAATTCTATCATTTACATCTAGAAGAGAGTAGTATTGTCTAGCGTAGTTCCAAAGGTGGTGGTTATAAAATTTTCATGAAAATCCTTACTTAAAAACTCATAAATAAACTGAGAATCCATTTGATTTTCAGAATTGTTAGCGAAACTTCAGCACCTTAAAATGGAATTCTTATATTAAACAATTGTTTGGAGTTCAAATTTATGATGGGGACTCCTTATCCCACAGGGGCTATTTAAATGTTGTCAAAATGTGTGCTCAGCTGGTCTACTTCATGTTATTATTTTGTTCTAAATGGCACTGTAGGTAGGGTGTCTTGGTACATTTATTTAAAACAGTCTTCTGACCCCACTAAAATATGTTTACACAAGATTTTGTGATACATAAATAAAGATGTCAACATTAATTACAGTTGTAAATACAAGGGAGCTTTTTCCTTCCACCTTGGTATTTTTTGTCAAAATATACAAAAACATATCATAAATGTCAATGATAAAATGTAGGGATATTAAAGGTTTATTTATGGTCTTTCAACCAAAATAAAGAACAACAAGATTTACGACAAGATGAAGGTAATATTAAATGTTTCCTACTTAGGATCACTTTAGGAAAATCTAAACCACTTACAATTTATGAATCCCACTTCCTAAAATTGCAGATAATTATAATAAGTGAACTGTTAAAATTTTATGCTTTCTTCAAATAGCTACAAGTTCTCGGTAAATAAAAGTGTATTAAAACAGTTTGTTGATTAGCTGGCACATGATTGGATTTTTCTCCCTAAATTTTAAGTATTTCAGTTACTTAACATTAACCTTCTTTCTTAAAGTAATCAAAATATTTAATAACAAGCCCATGTTCTGAAAATAAACTTTTAGTCCTAAAACATTCCATCTTCTGTCCTGGGACCTCCTTCTTTTCTTTTTTATTTATTTTTTATTTATTTTTTTAATACTAAAAAACCCCTATTTATTGTTTATTTAAATTTTTAAAAATATTTTATTATTATGAATATTCATGAAATACAAATTATCAGAAATTGCTTTTATACCCCATGTCCCCACCCAATTGTCCCTCAACCACNATACAAATTATCAGAAATTGCTTTTATACCCCATGTCCCCACCCAATTGTCCCTCAACCACCTCCCCCCTCCCCATCTCCCCCCACTCCTCTTTGCAGCCCTAGGAATGTTCCCTCCTTCTGTAAGACCACCACAGTACTGGGGTCTTTCTTTCCTTCCTTCCTTTCTCTCTTAGTTCCCACATATGAGTGAGCACATGCGGTATTTATCCCCATGTTTTGCTTATTTCACTCAACATAAGTTTCTCAAGGTTCATCCATGTTGTTGCAAATGG